TCCTGGGGAAAAAATACGTTTTCACAGTAAAAATATTTTGCCAGATCTCAATAAATGACGGAAAGATAGGTATTCCCCGATTTCTTCCATGAGTTCGACTTGAGCTGAGATTTCAAACGTACTGTACCTCTGTGAGTTCTGCTTTGCACGCCAGCACCAGCCATAGCGCCTTGATCAGGGGGTTTCCGGTGTTCCCCACTGTCCCCCGCAGCAGTCGCTCTTCACTCCGCAAAGTCAGGTCCCAGGACTCGGCGTCGAGGAGGGTGAGGGCCTGCAGCGCCTGCTCGTCCTGGCACTGGGCCTGGAGGGCCTCGAGCAGGCCGACCACCTGCGCGCCCACCCCCTGCAGGCGGCGCCTGAGAGCTCTCTCGGCGGGCTGAACTTCGTGCCCGGCGTCCCAGCACTGCGGCGAGTCTGCGGCACGACAATCCGAGCACCAGCAGCGGGGTCGGGCAGCGGGAGCCCTGCGCAGCAAAGGCAATAGTTAGGCTCGGGCTTACCGCGCCCTCCGCCGGGGCCGCCCTTGGCAACTCTCACCTGTCCAGCCTCGGCCCTTGCAGGAACGGGAGCAGGGCGAAGGTGTTGGGTAGCGCCTCCGGCGGGCTGTCGAACTCCTGCAGGGAAAGATTCGAGATGAGACGGAAAAGCTCCGCAGGAGGACATGGAGCGGCATGTGATGGAGAGCACTCACCCTGCGGCACGTCGGGCACCTCCTGTCGGGCAGCCGCCGCACGCACGAGAGGCACAGCGTGTGCCCGCACGCCAACACTTTGGGCAGCCGCTCGCCGAGGTCAAACTGCTCGATGCAAATGTCGCAGATGTAGCACTCCATGGCGGAGGCGGGCCTGTTGCTGCTGCTGGAAAAGGAAGGACAAGACCAGCTGTGAGTAATTTAGGAGTTTAAAGACTAAATAGATAAGAAAGATAACGGAAATTTGCAGGAAGGAAATATTTTCTTAAATCTCCCAAATTCAAGGTACTCATCTGGCATGGAACTCTTTGGGACATTTTTATTGAACATGAGTCAATAGTAGAAAAAAGGAAATAAAAGCAGGGCACAGCCCTTTGGTCTCCCAAAATAAAATGTATATTTTATTCATCTGCACTTCAACGTACAATCAAAATAATTTCCAGCAAATAATTTTTGACTCTTTTGCACCATAAAAAGCACAAGCACAAATTATGATGGCTAGTGATGGCAAGGATAACAGAACTGTGTTTTAAATTGTATTACACTACTAATATTACCTCAACTGCCTAAATGCAGAATCAGGTGAATTAATTGTAAATATGCAAGTAAATTTAGAACCATAAACTTGGAAATGTTTTGAATGAATGCATAATGCATGAATGAATGTCTTTTTAAAGACCCCAAAAATTAAATGTTATGCCAAGAAAGAGGCCTATTCCTGAACAAAAACTACCAGCACACTAACTTGTGTGAAGTGGTCTATAAAATTGATCTTCTTGGAAACGTAATTAATTATATGGTTTTGTTACATTATGTCTAAGTGACAAAGAAGATTAAAAAGGGATTTTGTATGGAAAAGTAGGTTCCCACATGAAAATCAACTGGAGCGGCTAGTCAGAAATAGGAGAAAAGGGACTGATACTGATGCTATAAAATCCACTCACACTCAAACAATCCAAAAAGTGCACCTGGAATAGCATTAGCTCCGATAAAGAGCGTAACCTATCCGAATCATCGACCGAGACAGCATTCAGTAACCGCCGGTGAAAGGTAAACAAAACCATAACCTTTCGGCCACTGGTCGCACATATGACACTAATCAATCTTTTACTTGCGGACAAACAATACTCACCAGAAGTTTCGTACACTCTGCGCTAAAATTTTAAGCTGTCCGGGTATGCTAGAAGGATTGTCAGTCTTGACAGACATCTACACCGCTGCTACATTCGGAACAATATGTTGAACTTGTAACAGTATCAGCTGAGTTTTGGCTGGGGCTGGGGAAAGGGGAAGGAGTGGGAGGAAAACGGGGAAAAGGGGGGGGGGGGCAGTATGCGGAGGCTGGTAAACGAAGCGATTAATCGATCGGCGTAAAATTTAAAGTCAGTAACGCGGAAGCCAATTAAAAGAAGACAGTCCCCTCGATCAGATCACAAAGGCTTCCCCCTCAGTTTTTAGCCCGCCCTTCTGCTTTGAAAAAGCTATCCAGCGGGCCAGTCTGTGTGTCTGTCTGTCTGTTCCACTAGAAGGCGATGTGCTAGAGACTTGAAATTTTCAGGGTATCTTAAGGTTCACTCCTAGAGAACGAAATGCCTTCGGCAAATCCTGGCAACCACCCCTAAGGGTGTGAATGGGGGTATCCAAGGTTCAAATACTCGCCCACAACGTTATTTTTTAGCCTGCCCTTCTGCTTTTAAAAACGCATTAAAGCGGGCTTATGCAACCGCTCTCGTGTCCGTCCGTCCGTCGTCCGTCGTCCGTGTAAGGAGGGATGAGCCTAGTAAGAAGAAGAAAAGAAGATGGTGGCGTAGCGTAGCGCGGACCCATGGTTGTGTCCGAATTCTCGTCCGGTACGGCCGGAACGGTTTGCTCGCGGCCGTTGCGAGCTGTGCCATCCACCATTCGGCTGCTACCAACACCCGCGACGCCCCGAAGACCGCGAGCGCGAGCGCCCCGCGAGATGACAGGCCGCGAGTCTACCCCATGCCGGGGGTGACTCGCGAGGATAGCCCCGCGACCTGCGTTATCCTTGTTGCTAATGATTGGCTGTCCTGAACGGCTGGCGCGGCTCGCAACGGCCGCGAGGCAACCGGACCGGACGAGTGTATTTAGACTGTCCGACCTATTTTTCTCCGACCTGGCGATTTTTCCAAAATCCCAAAAAGTGCTGTCCGACCTAGGTTTTGTCCGACCTATTTTTCTCCGACCTCGTCGATATGCTGAAATTTGGGAAAATGTGGCTCCTGCAGTTATACTTTACCGCACGTTTGGTTTTCCTACCCCAGGGGGCCGTAGCGCCTAACGGACAATGCAGGTAGGCAACACGCACGCCTGCGTGCGGTACAGCATAACCACGACGACTGGCGGGTTCGCCTACCCCAGGTGGCCGAAGCGTCTTACGGGCAGTGCAGCAGTGTGGCACTAAGCTTTTGGCGTGAATCACCTCCGTGCAACCGGCAGTTAAAATAACTCTTAGAGCCGGATTCAATGTACCTACAAAATTATCAAAAATGAAAAAAATGTGGGCCCTACCCACCCCGCTTTGACACGGGGACCCGCCTGCTTAACTTCGGAGGTCGGAATGGGATCCGGTGTTTTCAGGCACCCAGCTGAGGGCCGGGTTTCTTGACTATGTCTCGCTCACACCGGAGTTTACAGCCATCGACTAGGTTCCCACCAGTCCGCTTGACCGGGAATGGGGGGTAGGGCGGAGGGAGTTAGAAAGAGAGGAGACGGGCGTACGGTGGTTAGCCTGTACTGCACCCAGATGCGATCCGAGCGGAAAGCTTCCGAGTCGTGGAATCCCTTCAATGAGCCAGATTCTAAGGACTTATCAATTCCACACGGGTTACCACTCCCGCTGTGGCTGGGATGGCCCTTACCCGGCACGCTTTCGCCGAGGGTCGAACCTTTGCCCCTAATGGGACCCCAGTGCCGAGTCATCGTCACCCCCGGTCCAGTGGGACAGCGTTATCCACCAGACCGTTCGTTCATCCACAAAAGTGCCCCGTTGAAATGACGGGTTTAAGTTCAACTCCAAGAGTTCGACCGGTTCAGAAAAATGTAACTGGGATGGGTGATTCGAACCCCTAACTTGCGGCGCACGGGGCCGACTCTCTACCGGTGCGGCTACGACGCCACAGAGTGAGTGGCCGGGCGAGCTAGGCTGAAGGCACGAGTCAGCGCAGTAGCTTGAGCGGGAGAAGAACCGGTTCCATCACGACACCCTCTCACCTGACGTTTCGAGACCGGCCTCGTGGCTCTTTCATATCGCTGCTAGGTTTGAACTGTGAGTCGGGAGTTCTATCTATCTATCTATCTAGCTGCACCGGAATCTTCTCCCTTTCGGTCTCCTCACCCAGATCAGTCGGACAATTTCATAGAAACGCAATGTCGCACTCTTCTTGTGGGTTGGTGAATGCCCATTCGTACTCCTCAGGGAGTAAAAGCGTGAATTTTCCTTCGAAATCAACACATACACCCAGAAAAAATTAATTCTTGATTTAAGGCAAATTTCGGCTTGTTTTCGATATTCTTGGTTTATTGAAGCCAATTTTCTTGAATCATGGAAATTTTTTCTTCGAATTAAGAAATAAAAGTTGAATTAAGAGAATCGGCTTGAATAAACCAAGCCCAAGAATGCTGTTTTCTGGGTGTATGTGCCTCCATGGGTATGAATAATGGCAGTTCACACACCTGCACGTGTGACACATTCACACACTTTTCGGTGTGATTCACGCCGAGCCGCCCGCTCCAGCACGGATGAGTGTCCAGTAATAACGCGGCAATCAGAGCGGGCGCACATAGTCAATACAGAGATAAAAAGAAGCGAGCGTTAAACTTTAATGCGCCGTGTGCGGTGAGCTGAGGGCGAAGCGTTTCGCAGACAGTTTTATGGGAAAACGGTTAGTTATATGACTTGGCGGGCCAGGAGGGCCCCGCCGCCGCCTCCGCGAGGCCGCGGGAGCCGTCCAAGGAGCAAAAGCCAGTCGTCAGTCGTCGTCAGTCGTCGTCATCATCGAGGCGAACAGCATCACCTCGGCGGCCGCTGCTGCAGCAGCGCACTGGGTCAGGACGAGGGGGTCAGCGCACGGCCAGGCCGGCGGCGAGCCGAGCACCGCGCCGAGCACGCCGGGCCCGTGGCCTGTGATTACCCCCCCCCCCTCACTCCGCAGTCCTCCCCTCACTGCAGTTGCAGTAATGTAAGAATCAGACGCTGGGCTGGGGGACTCGATCGGGTCCACGCCGCCCTGCCATACGGCCACGGCGATTGGTGTGGCCAGGTCTCGGCCCGGTCAGTCCGCCGGGCAAGACTTGCCAACGCAAAAAAAAAAAAAAAAGTGATAATGGTTGTTAGCTTCCGGCGCTTGTGCAGGCTGCCGTCACTCCTGCTGTCGGTGAGCCGAGCTGAGCAGCAGCAGGGCCGTATGGCGGAGCTGTTGAGCCGGTACTGTACGGGTGTGCAGGGCGGGGTAGGCAGGCAGGCCGATGAGACACAGATGCCGAAAATGGTCCGAAACAATGGAGGAAGTAAGTAGGTGTGTGCACATTCCTTTTGCTCGCCGTTTGGTTGGGGGGGTCGTAATATTTTACGATAGCTTGTCGCGGGAAGGGAAAGTGGAGGGGGGAGAAGAGGGGGGGGAAGGGGTGGTCAAAGAGGCGTCGCGAAATAGGGATCATCCAGAAAGTGCGTCCGTCAGTCGCCGTCACGAACCTGTAAAGTTTAGCCTCTGCAAGCTCTCATAGCGCCTGGCTGGTAGGCAATATCTTGCCTGCCGTGCATACGTGTATTGCGGGGTGGCCTACTCTGAGTCTCGCAGGCACTGAGCTCTCACAATTTGCCGAGTGAATTTTGAGAGAAAGGGACGTTCTTTCTGCACAACCCCAGTAGATTGGTGGTTTGGGAGACTTAAATGGTGAGGCTGGGAACGGAGGATGGTGAGTACAGGCCGCTACATAATGGTTATAGAGAGGTGATATTGTCAGGAAAATCATCAAACACAAATGTCAGTGTTTGAAACAAATCAAACGGTGCCGATTTTGCGCAAACACTCGTTGTTCCTCCTTTCAGTTTCGGAACAGGTATACTGCGGCCTCCTCCTCGTCCAGGTTGGGCCCCATGCAACTCTCCGGACGGAATCATTATAATTATTGCGTGAGCTTCTCGCCGGATATCGACGGGCCGCAGACACTCGAGCCGCCCCGGTTATGAGAACTAGACGGTCCTGGGTAATGGGCGGCTTGGGCTTGGGCGCGGGGCGGGTCGACACCTTGCGCGACGCCGTGGCCCACACCGGCCGCCTATAGCTCGGCGGGACGTGATTTAGACAGCTCCTCTCCTCATCGCCCTCGTAATTTCTCCCACCTGGAAAGTCAAGTCCATTTAACGATACGACCACCTCCCTCCCCGCCACCAATGTTCTTTTAAGTCATAGGGCTCCGGGCCCCACACTGTCTCCCGGACCCGGACAACACGTCGTCGTCGAAACGGAATGGAAGTGTATGTGAACGGTTTGATTTCCCACGAAGATAGGCTGGGTATCACTTTATTCGCGTGGTCGAATGGTCCTTTGGCGGGACGGGCTGGTGTGTACGAGTCGAGAGTTTTGAGTCAGACAAAGAGATAGACACAGAAAGAGAGAGGGGCAGAGACAGAGCGGCGGGACGCGTGGATTTAGAGTGGGACAGAGCGACACTGGGATTGGACCCCTGGCGCGCGCAAAGGCGTCGCCGCGCCACGCCACGCCAGTCCAGGCTCGCGTCTGATTCGCGAGGACGGAAACACACTTACACTGCCGCTCACACACACACACGCACGCACGCACCGCCACGACAAGGCAGCGCGACTAACTGGACCGATTCCGTTACGATGGCGACGAGCTGCGCGCGGGGCGGGGCGTGCGGTGGGGCCCGGCGGGGGGCTGCACACCGCATAGCAGTCCAGAGCAGCTTCACTTTCTACAGCAGACCACGCCCTGGGACAAAAACGAGAAATGAGCAGCGCCGCCACCACCGCCGCCGCCGCGGCCGCGCCACAGCATCTTACGGCACGCCACGCCACGCCCGCCACGCCCCGCCCGCCACGCCCCGCCACGCCCCACCACATGCCGTGGGTCACTGCGTCACGTCACATGTGACATCACAGACGGGCGGTACGGGCGTGACGGGGCGTGACGCGCTGCTTAGCGAGCGGCGTGCGCCGGGTGTACGTTGCAGGAGTGGAGGGGGGGGGGGGGGCTCGTCC